AGGGGCAAATATAAATGCCCAGATAGAACTTGTCCATAGATAGCATCTCAACAAGGAAGTCAGATGGAAGTGTTTCAGTTTTCTTTACTGATGTACTATTGTGGACCTAGAAGTGAAAAATACTTTTTCTCCAGGTATAAAATTGTGGCATTATTTGAAGTCTATGTAAAAAGGAAATATGATACATTCTCTATTGTTCTGGTACAGTGAGAATAGGAAAAATGAAATATCAATGACAATCAAAAGGTGCGGGAGGAAAATGATCTTTGACTGTTCATGATGTTGCTTGCCGCTTTGGCCACCGATCTTTATATTTTTTCCTCTTTGCTCAAATGGTCTTATTTTATAGAATCATAACAATTCCATGCATAGTAGCCTGATCAGCAGTTGTGAACCATAGAATTTGTGTAGTGTGCTCTGTCTAGTACTTCTATTGAACCATCACTGTAGGCATATCAGTGACATGTAGTGGGAAAGACTGCTAAGGGACCTCCACTATTTTTACAGCATCTCCCAAAGGTCATTCTGTTCAACCGCCAAGTCTGATGTGGTGTTGAGGGTTGCTTCCATTTCAACTTCCTAATCTGTTTGAGCCAGTGCTGTATAAGAGATGACATTTCCATCAGCACTGCGGCATCGAATGGCACTTTTATAGACTAGAAACCAAGGCACATCTGATAATTTATCAGTTTTCCGAGGTCAAATCAACATATATGGCACAAGGCAAGCAGAAGAAATTAGGTCTCTCTACTTGAAGAGAATAAGAGTATCTTGGGCCATATACCATATCTGTATGTTAGTCCACTCCCAAAACAAATTTTCAAGTGTGATGCTTTGCAGCACGTTTCCTGAAAACCCTTATAACCATACAAAACCCTACACGATATGGCCATCTTCTTATAATTACACTATATGCCACCTGTACAGCCTTGTTATTGGGATATGTTTAAACCATGGCTTTTTCTATGCAACTAGTAACCGGAGACTCGGACACGGTTATTGCAAACAGGGCACTAGTGCTACAGAACAAACCTTATAGCAGAAAAAAATAACCCCTCAGCAACTCCTATTGTATTCCAGTACGGGGAATTGAGCCCCGGGCTGTTGTGCTCGTTTTCCCGTGAAGGGTTTTATCATAACAATGTTAGCCACTGGGGTCCCTACACCACTGGCACGCCGGAAGACATACTAAACTGGCATTGAATGGAGCACATAAGCTGAAATCGGTGAGACATGTACATAAACAAATTCAGTTTTCACGTATGTACTTGCGTAGTATAAGTGTAGAGCTTCTAAAAACATAAGTACTCGATATCTTGGATACTAATAAAGCCAGCAATTTCGGAAGACCACTGCGCTAAGATAAGCGTACGCGTGTATGTGCCGTCGGCAGTCGGGACGAGTCTTCTCTCGGAATCCCTTTCGAATTTCTCTGCATGCAACTCCGACCAACCTTTTCCTCTCCTCATTCTATCTATCCCTTTCGAACCTCTATCTCTGGATATAGAACTAAAACTCGGCTACTTTCTTCCTCCAATGCTAGTTCTGGTTCGGGCTCTAGAGAAAGAGAAGGAGAAAGAGAAGGACAAGAAGATGTAGCCAACTCTTCCTCGGACAACAACAATGCAACCACCACCTCCACAACGTCGACTAATGATATGAGCGCCTCTGACAGACTATTCCTCGACGCCCTCCGCGAAGAATCCTCTTCCTCCTCCCCACAAAAATCACAATACCTCCAGTACCTCGAATCCCAGCATCTCCAAGGACACCCAAACTGGGATGGAGATGAAAGGATGGAAGATACGGTGCTTAGGATGTTGGTGGACAAGTATAAACCGCTGAGGAATACAGGCGGGGGTATCAAGAGCGCGGATGAAAAGTTGAAGGAGAGGGTTCCTAAAATCACACCGAAGGACATGGCGTTGGATTTGGATGGAGTGCTGGAGAGATTTACGAGGAACGCTAATGTTGGTTCTGATGCTACAACGACTGCTACTTCTACTATTACGACGACGACGACGGCAACCCAAGAAACAACCCCTTTAACACCCAGTTCCATTTCCTGGGCTGACGAGCCCCTCCTTCCGTCCTCTGACTCTCACAGACCATGGCATACAGAGTTTAGAGTTCCTTCGCATGTCATTTCGTCTATCAAGCTAGCAAACATCCCTTTAAACCCTTTGCCTCCGCACTTGAGGGACACTTCGACGGTGTTTTCTTCTCCGCCATTTGGAGGCGGTGGTACGGGGAGAACGACAAAAGGAGGAGATGATGAGAAAGCCCGTAAAAAAGAGAAGGAGATGAAGAAACGCTCAGAGATGGGGAATAGACTTGGGAAAGCAAGAGAGGAGACGTTGGATTATAGGCTTGGATTGAAGGATAAAGCCGGTGCTCTCGGAATAGCAGCAGGAATGAGGCCGAATCCGGTGAGTATGAAAGGGTGGGCTGGGTTGATTGAGGATAAGATTGAGGTGCGTTAACTTTACTACTACTTTACTGCTCGTGTATCCTTATCTTATTCTGGCTGGCAGCGCGCGCGATCCCGAGGTGTCTTCAACAATCTCAAAGGCCGAGGACAGCCTCTTTCCTCGACATTAGAGGAGAAGAACCCGTTTATAGCCAGGGAAGAGTTTCTTATGAATCGAATAGTACAAAGGAATGGGGCTGCGCCGCCTTGGGTTGAGTTACAGGGAGGTGAGTGTTATTAATGAGCTTCTACAATATCGTATTGAATTTCTTCACAGAACTTGATACAGCCCTCCAATCCTTCCGTAGCATCCTCCGCGCCTCCTACGTCCGTCGTACCATCCGCCTCTTGACAAGCCTTCACCCTCCATATGTCCTCTCAAAGTATACTCTCCCCGATATCCTCTCGCACAGAGATCCAGAATGGGAGAAGAAGGAAGAGTCATATCATACGAAAGCGGTAGATGAGATTAATGCGCTGGTGAGAAAGTATAACGGGTTGGCACCGTATGCAGTGAGGAGGGCGTACATAATGAAAAAGGTAGAGGTGGAAAGGGTTTATGAAGAGTGTGCGGAAGACGTTTTAGAGGGGCTGAAGGGGAGACTAAAGGCCGGGGATGGGGGTGTTGGAATCGGAGCTGCAGGTGCTGGGGATGGGGAGAAGACTGGGGGTGCTGGTGCTACTGGAGGAAGAGCAGACGATCCGGAGTTCATGGGATTGGGAGATTGGATTTGGGGGTTGATTGGGAAGGTGTTGGGGCGGTGGAGAGTGAGATGATGATCGTCGGAAGTATTATCTGCTGGATGGATAGAGCGTGTAGATCAGAATTAGATTAGATTGTATCACTACTCAGTGCTTTGTATTTTACGATGTATATACACGCTGTAAGAAGAATTCCGGACGTCTTCCTTCCTACACGTGCAGTCCGACGAGCTTTGTACTTTTTGTAAAGCGGGCGTCTACTGGACCTAAATGAGACTTGTATACTTGCGGGTTTCCAATATCACCGCCCCTCAAATATAGATACCAAGACCAGTACCTACGCAGCATGCTGGAATAATAAGGAACGGAGGAATGGCGTGGCTTTTGCGCCTCGAGGCAACCTTGCGGACAATGACACTCATTTCCGACCCTTAGGCGAGCAAGTATAAATCCTGTCAATTTACCCAGACTCATTTTCTTCATCATCCCACCCCACCAGTTTTCTCTTCTGCCTCTTCTTCTCCTCCCCTCCTACCTGCGCTGCTCGTTGCTCGTCGTTGTCGTTAGGACTCGATAACTCTACCTATCCTCAAATCTAAATTCTTGCGACCCGTCGAACACCGACCGCTACCCTCAAACCCCGCTATCTACATCTACATCTAAGAAACAATGTCCGCAGAAGAGATTATCGTGCGTCGAGTTCTTTCCCAGTCTCTGTCTCGAGCTGACCGGTGGATAACCTTTTGTCTTTTTTTCCCTTCTTCGCCGTCATTCACTGCACTTTTCCACTCGTTCACTATTATCCCTTGATACTCCCCTGCTCGACCTTAATCCAACTAATTACAGCCTGGTGACATCGTCGCTATCAACCACGCCCTCTCTGGCCGTCGTGAAGGCCTCGTCGTCGGATCCCACATTGACTACCTTGTATGTATAACGTCATTGCGTCATCCGTCCCTTCCTTCCTTCCTTGGGTTTCCTTTTGTTCTTTACCCTTCCCCTCTCTTCCTTCACAATTATTCAGGTCATTATTTCTGACACACATTTCGTTACAGGGTCGTCAAATCGTAGAAGTCCAACTCGAGAATGAGCTGTATCATGCTTGGTACGTTTGTTTTCCTGTTCGCGTCTCTGTTCTAGTCTGACGTTTTTCCTCCGCGTTCCTTCCATGTACCTTTTTTCTCCCATGGAACCAAACGGATTCTTTTTTGCAGGTACCCAACCGTAACCCGCATCAAACGTGTAGCCTACCGTCCAGCAACCATTCAACCCGCGAGAGCACGTACGATTGAGAGGCGGATTTATTGGTGATCCGTTGAACTGTCACCTTTTTTTCCTCGGTCTCTTTCTCGTCGTTCCTGGTTTCCTCGCTTTCTTGTTTTACTTATTCAATTGTTATATATCTTCTCGGTGCTGGACTACCTCTACCTACCTGCCTATGAAGGTTTACCTACCTCGTTGGCTACCTAGCTACTTGCTTGCTTACCTGTGATGTGAAGTGATGTTCTTTACGCTTGCATGTATGTACACTTGACACGCGTTCACGCTTCCTATGGTCACCATGCACTGTATACGCCTACCTACCAATCTCTACGCTTTCCTTTCCCCTTCCTCTCTCTTATGCAATGCAATGCAATTGTAGGCTATCTCGTTGGTCGTGATGAAGCAATGTATACTTGCGCTGCGTGCATATTATCCAGAGGGCAGATTACTATTGGGGTCCTTGATGCAAGGCTGACAACGAATGTCATTGAAAATAGTTTCTGCGGAATGTCATAAAAGTGATTTTTGTCTGGGCTTTCACATCTGGATAACGGTGATAACACCCTCCGGCGTGGTGTAGTGGCTAACATTGTTGTCTCTCACACAACAGCCCGGGGTTCGATTCCCCGCGCCGGAATCACTGGAAGGACTAGCTTTTTGCTTAGGCTCAAGCGCAAAGCTTTGAAGAAAGCCTATTCGATTAAAACAAGATATATACATAACTGGTACCCAAGTATTTTCAGGCGAGCCCTAAATATCGGGCTCACTGAAGTCTCGCACAAACATTCGCAATAATACTCTCCGCTACCTGCTCCGTACCCATAGGCTCGTTCTTAGGTGAACAATTGGCCTGCATTGGTGGAGGTTACGAGGGTCTGCGGAATAAAACAAGGTTCAGACTGTCACGTTGAAAGTTAAATGTTAAACTATTGCCTTCCCATCCCATGCACAATCCTCCATCTCTACCTGTAGTCTCTCGGGAAACATATTATGCCGTTCTCCAGCAAGCCCTCTAACTGACATGGACGACCCATCTTCCCCTTCCTCCTCCTTGACGACAAGGTTTATTACAACCCGTCTTGTTACCAAACGATTCAACGCGGAGTGACTCTGAGCTACGCCAACATGGATGGTCAACGTATATCCAGATTCAGGTGAGGGAGGAAAGTCTTTCGAAATAAATGACGGAAGGACCGGTGGTGTAGCATGAAGCCCTGGCACGATTTCGAGGATTCGCGAGTAAACGGTAGGGGCTAATGTGTATGGATTCGGGGTTGGCATTCGCGGAGGAAGACGTAGAGCTAGAAGTGTGGATTATAGCGTTCTAGAGAGTCTGGATGGCGAGCCAAGAGGTGTTCTCTGTAGGTGGGCGGAAGGGCTGCAATAAAGGTGGTTTGGGTACTTGAAGATGATTGGAGAGCATACGTCTAGTATCTATACAGATGTATTTAGATTTACGAAGAGAAAGATTAAGCATACCGTTTGCATACATATTGGTAACTGGTGGTCTAAAGTCAGCTTTGGGCGCAGGTTGACTCTGATTTATTTAAGAATGGCTATCGACACTAATATACATACCACTGGTTACCCAAGTATCTTTCAAACCTATCATGTTCTTCATCCAAGCCTCGCACAAACATTCGCAACAATACTCTTGAGCCCTTCCGCTACTTGTTCTGTGCTCATAGGTTCGTTGACAGGCGAACAGTGGATAAACATCACAGGTGTATTCCTTCCAGCCATCTTAGATTCTGCAAGCGAGCAGTAGAGAGTAAAGTCGCAGAGATAGTGGCCTGCATCGGTGGATGTTACAAGGGTCTACAGAGTAAAACAAATCGCATTGTCAGTGGGACGCACGAAGAACTAACAGAGCCAAATGTATGTACTTGCCTTTCCATCGCGCGCACAATCCTCTAAAAGTTGGTCCACGTCCACTTCTACCTTTAGCCTCTCCGCAAACATACTATAACGTTCCCCGGCAACTCCCCTAATCAGCACGGGTGACCCATCTTCTTCTTTTCCTTCTTCCTCACCAACAACATCAGCGTATTTCTCTTCATGATCAAGTTTATTATACCCCGTCTTATCGCCAAACAACTCGACACGGAGTTCCGTAGGAGGAGCTACACCCACATGGATTATCAATGTATATCCGTTTTCAGGTGGGGGAGGAAAGTCCTCTGGAATTGGAATGGATATGGATGATGGCGCTGGGAGAACTGGTGGTGCGGCATGAAGGCCTGGGATGATATCGAGGACTTGGGAGTAGACGGTGGGGATTTGGAGGGTGCTTATGCGGATGGCCTCCGAGGTGGAGGTTGGAGTGTGGAGAATGGTGTTCTGGAGAGTACGGACGGCGAGCCAGGAGGGGTTTTCTTTGAATTGACGGAAGGGCTGCAATGAAAGTGACTTGGGTATCTGGACTATTAGGATAGGAAAGTGAATACGTACGCCAAAACCAGTCACCAAGACCTGGTGCTTTACCGATGCCGTCGTTGACATTTGGTTTGTGTAGTGTCACTAAGTCTGTAGATCTCCCTTCGCCTTTACGACGATGTAAGGAAGGAAGGAAGACCAGCTATTGACTAGTGATTCGTCCGGTCCGTTGAGAGAGGGTCTTAATTTGGAATGCAACCGCATGGTCATCCAATAAGATAACTGCTTCAAAGAGATTTAGATTTACGAGAAGAAAAAGAAAAGATAAAGAAAAGCCAGACGTACCATATTACCATCATGATGCACACTAGTGGTAGTAGTCTCAAGTCAGGCCTCAGGGTCGATAAATGCATGACTTTGAACTTGAACTTGGACCACACTATCGCCTTGCCTATTCTTTTTGCGTAGACTTCAAATTATCTGCGCCGAATACGTCCTTTTCCTTTCCGCAACGAAAATATTCGATGTCTCCATGTAATGGCCGGCGCGTTGCAAGGCAAAAGTCTTACAAGCAGTGTTCCCTATCATATCCTTGGCTCTTCAACTAGTATGGCCACAGAATAAACCGGAGATGACGGCTGAAGCCTGAGTGTCGTTGGGTCTGGAAAAGCGCCTGTTACGGAAGAACGCAGAAAAGTCATGGAAGGATCTGGAAACGCGCTCTGACACACCCAAAAGCGACTTTCAAGTCTCGTTTGCAAACTTTGCTCTAAGGCTCTCTGCATAGCTTGCATTTAATCTGCCTGTACCCAACATGGTGTGGCACTATAGGGATTCGTCTTAGCCTGTGTATTCATCATACCAACTGCCCGCCTTCAACTGTTCTTCGCCTCATGCAACCGACGTCGCTCTGTTCGCTTTGCCTTCAAACCCTCTCACACAAGACTGTCGTATATCTGTACTCATGTACACAAATCCCCGTTCGCGCAACGAGCGCCACCTTGTAAACGCTAGTGCAACCGCCATTTAGCTCCAGAACACCAAAGACAATTCGCCAGCAGTCGCCAGCTCGACAACTTTTATCCCGTTGAGACTTGCGTATTGACGCGACAGACACAATATCTTGGCTGGCGTTTCCTTGGCCACGTTGCTTGTCAATATCTGGTCACACTAGGTCATACTTCATGGTGAGGAGACGCTAGTCCACTTTTTGTATAATTATTCACGCTTTACGCTTATTGCAATGACGACAGATATGGATTACCGGCGGTTGCGGTTTGACCTCGTTATCGTCCGCGCTCTGTACTCTCTGGCTATAGACTCGTGTCTTCGTCATGCTACTCTTGTCTCAATCAATGCGAGACTACTTCTGGTTTGTAATGTCGCGGTCTTCATTTGCGCAGTTGACGTCAACGATGGGGTAAATGTGGGGGATTACTTCATTGTCGTCTATGGTCATCAGCTCGAAGGCAATTCTCAACTGCCGCCAGCGAGATGAAACGACGATATGCTCAATATTGGTCGTCTTACTGTCTTCTCTGCCCGTCTCTAGACTTCTGGAGCAACAATACTTCGAGGTAAGGCATTTTCTTGTGATTTATCGCGTTTCGCTCATGTACATTAATGACGCCAGAGGGGAGATGGTTCCTAGTGTTACCGGTGTTCTTCTACTCGCGAACCTCGAGATTAACCACAGATTAACGGTTCACATATTTCGAATTCTGTCCGCTTTAGCCTTTTTGGCAGACTCCATCGAAGCCGAGGCGCAAGCTCACAATGACGCGTTTGGAGAGCTTAGGCTCAGTGCTCAGCGCTCATGCGCAGTGACGACTCTGACAAGAAGTAAACAAGAAGCATACAACGTCCGACATCGTCGAAATTACGAGCATAACTTTCCTTGATACTTATGAAATCAGCCACAGTAACTCAATCGTTTTGCTATCGCTCTCAGGCCTCTGCCCACATCACAACCCCTGAAATTTTGTCCCTGATTTCATTTCGACACGGTACTGTATGCACCTTTCCCGCGTTTACATCTTAATCGATGGTTCTACCGGTAAAGGTCACCGTCTTTATCAACCCTGTCCCGCTCACATTGTTCTTTTTATCGATAGTCCGGTTGTACCTTCAAGAAGAGTCGACTTGTCAACATGGAAGATTGAAAATTTGACGGTGACCGGGACCGCTGTTTCCCAGTCCCCTATTTCCGAACAACGGAGACCAAGAGCTCCAACAACTCCAAGCGTTGAGACGGTTGGAAGAACGGTCCGAACTTCACCCAATGTACCTGTGAGGTGACGTCATCGGCACTACCGTCGGCGCAAACGCGACCTTGCGCGATCGCACAAACCGGAAGGTCGATCAAACGATGAAAGCAGGGACACATGGTTGAGTATGCATTTCCAGAAAGCTTTATTCTTCTGCTGCTCGGACGGGGATGATAAGATTGACAGATTGATGTGTAAGCCAGTTTCCATACTAGAAACTTTCCCTCAGAAGGGCTTCTGATTGCACAGTACAGGAAACGAGATTTAGCGAAAATTTACTCGAGGAATACAAATTGGAGTCGACTTACTCCACACCCATCCTGCCGGGTTAGAGGGATTATCTGTTTTCCAGGGACGGTCACCGAACTACAAATAGCTCGACTCCTTTCCATCACGAAATTCTTTGAGTCTCTGTACTACCACCTCTCCAACCAACTCTACAACACTGTCCATTTTTTTCACGACTAACCCGACGCAAACGACCATCTATTGTATCGTTACTTCGCCTCCACGATGGCGTACTCAAAAGAAAAAGGACATGATACGACGCCGACAGAGTCAACGGTGTCTGTACGAGCGACGGTGAAGAATGGTGTTCCCCATTACATGGGTTTGTCTGGTGATAGGTTGTTAAACGCCATCACTGTTACTGCGACATGCTGTAAGTTCTCAACTTACTCTTGTGTTCCCCAGTCCGTTCATCTAACTGACGTTATGCAGCCTTCTTATTGTTCGGTTATGACCAAGGAGTTATGTCTGGTATCATTTCTGCCCCCCAATTCTTCCGTATTTTCCCTGACCTCAACCCCGAAATTTCTGGTTCAACCCATGCGTCTACTATGCAGGCCTTCTACACGGCCATCTACGAAATCGGTTGTTTGGCTGGCGCGACGTTTGCTTTGCTTTGGGGCAACAAACTTGGTAGAAGGAAAAATATCACTATTGGTAAGTCGTCTCTTGAGCACCTCTATTCGTGATTAACCCGAATCCTTTC